AAATAACGCAATTAGATTTCTTTCTTTTCCTGCCTTATACATTGAGAAATATAACTGATAGTCAGAAAACTACTAAAACAAATATACTATAAAAGCATAATTATAAAGCAAACACTTCCATACTCTCACCCTGGTATAGAAATATAACACTGTTTATACCCTACTCCTCCCTGATGCCCAAATCCTAGTCCCCTTCAAGTCCCACTGTCTTTGTATTCTTAATCACTGTTTGGTTTTCCTTTATAGTTTTATTGGCATATCCTCAGAACATAAAGTTTAGCTTGACTATTTCTCAACATCTTACAAATGGAGTCATACTGAATGTATTCTTAATGTTTGATTTCTATTACTCAACATTATTTTTAAGACTCATCCTTGTTACTGCTTGTTGCTATAGGAGTATTTATTTATATTTATTCCTGTACCACTCTTTTTTTTTTAACATTTTACAGTTTATCTTCTCTGCTGTTGTCGAAGATATGTTCTTTGATTTAAAAAAATCAGTTCTTGCCTAATACAAATGATATCATTATGAGTTTTCATACCCTGTATCCTGTTCATCTGTGGCTAACAGTGTGTAGAACATATTCAGCTCCTTTTTTCAGGAAGTTAGCTGTGATGGGACTGTGTGGCCCAAACTGCAGTGGTGTGAAGTACTAACGGTCTGGTCCATTTTCAGTGAGGGTGGAGAGCGAGGTCCCATCCGAAGGACAGTCCGGAGACAGAGCGGGCTCACCGGAAGTGGAGTGTCGCCCTCAGGTGATCCTGAGTTTTCCTTAAATGACTTAGAAACTCTGTTGGAGAACTAAGTTGTTAGGGGAAATGAGTTCTATTTTGGGTTTGAGGTGACTGCTGGACACACAAGTGGGAAGGAATATCACTAAGCAATCAGAAATGCCTATCTAGAACTTAGGAAAGGGAGGAGCTAGACATGAAGATTTGGAAGTGGTAACATACAGTCGGTTGTCAAAGCCATAGGAAAGGAGAATAATGATAACTGACAATACTTTTTGAGCATTTGTTATGAGCTAGGCACTATTCTAAAAATGTTACATGTATCAATTCATTTAATCTTCACAACAACCTAACGAGGCAGGTAATCATACACTAGAGAATTGCAGCACAGAAAAACTCAATTAGCTTTCCCAAGGTCACACATCTAGTCACTGGTGATGCCAAGAGGAGATTATTTGAGAAGTGTATGTGGAAAGGATCAAACTTTAATGAGTATTAATATTGATGATGAGGAGGAGGAAGAGGAGCCTGGGAGGAAGCCTTAGAGGACTAGTTATGGAGTCGGGAGGAGAGCCAGCGAGTGTCATTGATAGCCTAATTTAAGTGAACTTAATAAGGAAGAACTGCAGGTGCCTGGCACTACTGTAGGAAGTTAAATGCCAAAGTAGAGTCATAGTCAAGCTCTGAAACTTGGTGTTAGCCAAATCTATTCAGGCTTGGTTCCTTGCTTCCAAGAAAGAAAGTGAAAACTCCTAAGGAATCCAATAAAATATAGAAAAATAATGATTTGCTTTTGGTTGCAGTTTATGGCTAAAGCATAAAAAAATCCCTTCCTTAAGGAACTCATTATGTGGGAAGATGGGAAGATGGTGGGAAAATGGGAAAGGTAGTGGGCATCCCACACCAGAGAACTCCGCCGAGTAAACAAGCTGAGCTGGGCAGGAAGGTGGGAAGGAGGGAATCAAGGGAGAGTCCCTGCTCAGCCAAGGCCCGCAGCTCCCCCATCCCTACCTGTGGCCCGGAGACTCTGATGAAAGTGGGTGTCTAGGTGACCCTTCATCTGTGCCTGAAACCTGCCCCATGGACCTTGCTTCTCCCTGCTGTTGTCTTGTTTCTCTCTGGATAGACTTAACTACTGTTTGTCACAAGGCTGGCACTTGAAATGTCATTGGTTAAGTGGCACTCCTATGCCAAGGAAAAGTCTGCTCTTTCTTTCTGTTTAAACTTCCATAGGAAGAACTTTTATAAACATTCAGAAGTCTAAACATAATAATAAGTTCCATATTTTTAAATACATTATTTAACCTAAACAATATATCTACAAATTATAACACACAGAATGGTATTCTTTAAGATTAAGAGCATCACACTTTTTAAATTGTTAAGTTTGGCATCCAGAGTTGTGTCTTGCACATGATAGATATTTGTGGGTATCAACCTTAATCTGATTTGACTCTTGTAGGTGAGTCTTGGGGACAGGATTGACACTTTGCTAGAATCTAGCAGTTCTATCCAAGGAGGGCCAGAGCACGCCAAGCATTAGCCAGAGTTCTCATGAGGGTTACAGAAAGTGATGCTTGAACCAACCCCCTTGAAGATGATTGCAAAGAACAATGTGAATGTGTGTTTCATTTCAAGAGTTTATCTTGCTTTTCTGAGAAGTTTTTCATGGTTTCTGAAACCAGTGATAATGATAGTGTTGAGAAACAAAGTGGTACAGTTCACAAAAACAAATAAAACCAATAACCACTGGTTTTCCATTGTGCTTAACATGAGACTCTCTTATTTCTTAAAAAGTAAAGGAAATTGGTGTTGAATTATGAATTTTTAAAAGTGTAAAGGTCTTTCAGATATTCTTTAGCCTAGCCTCAGAAAAAGTTCTTGAATCCTCTATGCATCATTACTTTTTATTTTCTAGTTCCACTAAGAGTTAAACATCTGAGTGATGTGTTCTCAGAACAGACCTGGGTGTAAAAGGCTTGGTAATCTTCAACAGACCCAGAACTAGAACCACTCACTGTCCCAGAGATGACAGGGGTGGATGCCACAGTATTAGACTCAGTTGCAGGTGTTGGGGGAAAATGTGGGCTGGCAGGCAGCACCCAGACTTTCATGGCTCTGGAAACATGTGACAAGGACAGAATGATCATCAGTATCTGTGGGATACATAATTGTTGCAGACTCTGTCCAGCAGAGTCCACCTGTTGTGGTTGACAACGAGAATCAATGCACAGGTGACAACAATCCTGTGTGGAAAAAGGGAACAGGCACAACTACTCTCTCAAGGGGAGAGTGCCTATGGCGCCTCGGCCACTCCCTCAAGAGGGGAGCGCCCCGGCCCTTGCCTAGACAGGCTTTTATTGTTTTCCTGAGGTCTTGTATGATAGAAAGATTTATTATTTATCACATAGAATATTATTGTCTACATTCTAGGTACAATCAAGGAAATAAAAATAACAGGCAAAGAGGAATGGCGATGAGCTCATTAGCTCTGTCCTTGGGACAACTCATACAGGCTTTGGATATTATCTTGAAGACAGACAATACACATTTGTTGCTTTAGACCAGGGTGATAGAGTTTTAGCAAGAGCAAGCCATAACAGTCTTTAAGTATTTTCTAGGCCTGATTCCCACGGGAAAACTCGGTTTGAAGGTCTGGCTCCTGCCCACCACTTTGCTTCTGTAGGTTTTCCATACAGAGCTGAATCACATTTGCCAGGCCAAGACAAATCAATCCCCTACACATAATGGGGAAGCACAGTGGTAGCAACACCACAGTGTGGTGTTTGGAGACACGAGTGGACAGAATAATAGGTAGGGATACAGCTCAGTCTGTAATGCGTTCCAGGGGCAGGAGTTCCTGGTCTATAAAGACTTTAAATCTGAGGTCGACCTGGAGCTCTGCCCCCACAACGGGCCATCTTCCTTCTCACCCTCGGTATTCCTGTCACTTGGCTTTCTGTCTAACCACAGAATGCCAAGCTCCTCGGCACCCTCGGAGTCTTAGTCATTCCGATTTCTGCTCAAATGTCCTCTCCTCATAGCAGCTCTCTAGCACAGGATTCTATTCTAATAATTTGCATAACCTTTGAGGATGTTCCCCTCACTATCGATGAAAGCTGTTCATCTGTCTTTTTCTTGTTGTATCCAATAATCCCAGTCACATCAGGGTCAAGGACTTATGGACATGGAAAATGGTGTGGTGATTGCAGGGGAGAGGGGGTAAAGGGGGCTAAATGGTAACAGAAAACACAATAAAATTAAGTCAAAAAATAAAAATAAAAGAACACTGCTTAAAAAATCCCAAACTTGCAATGTAAGAGGCAATCTCTTACATTGAGTGTTCATTTAATTTTATTTTATTGATTTGAGACATGGAACAATGGAGGAGGAGAGCAAGAGTGAGAGAGAGAGAGAAACAGAGATTGGTTGTCTCCCATACACATCCTGGCCGAGGCTCGAACCTATAACCTAGGTATGTGTCCTTACCAGGGATTTAGCCTGCAACCTTTTGGTATACAGGACAATGCTCCAGCAAACTGAGGCACAGGGCCAGGGTAAGTATTCATTCAATAGGCACACCTTATACGTAAAAGTGCTTTACATATGCTAATCTATTTACTTAGCTCAGCAATCTTGAAAAGTGAGCTCTATTATCCTGCTTACACAAACCGCAATGCTGAGTCTCACAGACGCTAACTTATTACACACACACACCGCACCGAACTTCAGAGGCCGTGTCCTTGCCAGTTCACTTCACCTCTGTCTGGAGCCACCTCTGTGGTGTAGGCTCAGCTTCACAGAAGTGCTTACGCTTTGTGTCAAAGGACTGGTATTGGAAAAAACTAAAAGGAGAGGAAACAACATGTTGGTTAGATGTAGCTGCAGTTTGAAATGTTTTGGGTTTAAGCAGTATTTTTGAATGACCATGTGCCCCTTCACCCGCACTGATCAACTTGTTAATCACTGAGTAAGAATTTGACACTCCTCCAGGGACCAATAGGATAAGGATATACCTGGAGAAAAAAGGGAAGAAGTTAATAAATCATATATTCAGCCTAATATTCTTTGTGACCTGTGGGAAATCAGGCAGAGGAGAGAACGGTCAAGGTGAATGAGGCTGGGAGTCTGTCCAGAAGTGAGACAGGAGGGGGGCAGATATGAGGAAGGTACTAGACGAGCAGGGCTTTGTTTTAAATTAGCTTGTGAAAGAGAAACCAGAAATCTGCCCTTGAATAATGTTTCCTGTAAATGGTCATGGGATTTTTTGTAGCTGTTTGGTCTTACTGGGTCAGGAACTAGGGTGGCTGCAATAGAGGAAAATCTGCTCTTTTTTCCAGCAGTTTCCCCAAGTAAGAAGCATTGTTTGCATTGGGCAGATGCATTGGGGCAGGAAAGGTAAGGAGAGTCTTCTGGTTCATTGTCAGCTGGGCAGAAACAAAAGTTACCATGGAACAGAGTCTACTCCCAGTCAGAGTCCAGGAACTGGGGAAGAAAGGCCACAAGTGCAGTAGCATTGTGAAAAGTGATATATTGGGTAGCGCAATGGTGTGCGTGACTGAACTGCCTCCTCAGCCAGGAAGATATGGTTTGGTTGAGGTAAGAAAACGAAAGATCACAAGGCCTGAGAAGCCCTCTAACCTCTTTCTAAGTTGACTCTCAGCAGAGCAGACCACAGTACAAAAGCATCTGAGGAGCAGGGCAGCCAAGAGGTAGAAGCATCGGGCCTGCCTGCTGTGCCAAATGAAGGAGCCAATGGAGAAGCTTAAGACGGTACTGGAACTGCACTTGAAGCACTATGGAGTACTGGGTTATGGTCTGGTGACTGCGCTGACTGCGGGGCTGGAGCGCATCTTCTCCTCCACGGTGTTCCAGTGCCCCTGCAATTCCACCTGGAACCTGGCCTATGGCCTGGTGTTCCTGTTGGTACCCGCTCTGGCGCTCTTCTTCTTGGGCTACCTGCTCAGCGCTCGCACTTGGCGCCTGCTAACCGGATGCTGCGCGCCAGGCGCCTGCACCGGCTGCTGTAGCGGGATGCTGCGCAGGGCCCTGGTGTTCACGCAGCTCAGCGGGTGGGCTGCTGTTGCTCCCCTCACCTGGGTGGCCGTTGCACTGCTCGGGGGCGACTTCTATGAGTGCGCGGCCAGTGGGAGCCAGGCCTTGGTGCGGCGCCTGTGCTCGGGCCACCGCGACCCCAACTGTACTGCCCTGCTGCCGATGGTGCCCTGCGGGGATAAACAGGCTAAGGACGTGATGGGCCTCCAGAAGGATCTCAAGGCACAGTCGCAGGTAGGCGCTGGGTGCTATAAGGAGCTATAAGGAGGAGAGGAGAGGGAGGGCTTCTGTGCACTGACCGAATGAAGTAGAGATCTGTGCCCTTTTCCCAGACGTAGGACACGTAAGACGAACTGGAATGGCTTCTTGCTTCTAATGAGCTAACAGGCAAACGTTTTAAATAAACAAATAAAAAGCAGGAAAGGCGATAGGTCCTTTGATTCCTGCCTTAGTCTCCTGCGTCTTCAGAGAGAATCCACTGAGTCTAGGTCAGGTTGTTTGCCCCACCCAAAACGGCAGAATTGGTGCAGTGAAATGGGTCTGCCTGGCTCCTAAGCCACCACCCCACACGGCTTCTTGGAATACAAAGCTCAGAGGTTCTTGAAAATGAATGCTTGCTTCTTTGGATTTGCCGCTGTCCCACGTTGAGTTCTCGGGCAGTGACACACTGGCATCTCCCTGGGCTCCATGACTTGGAATAGACTGACCTGCACAGCAAGCAGTTGTACTGAGGGTTTCCAGAGGTCACGGCCACTCTTCCCTCTAAGAGAGCACAACTTAAAACGGTTGCTTGTTCATCATCATAACTGCTGAGTAGTTCCAACTTCAGCTGATGATTTTAAAATTACTTGTAAAAAAAGGTGACTAAATTGGTATTTTGCTGTTTTTCTAGGTGGCGGGCTGGATCCTGATAGCAGCAGTTATCATCGGCCTTGTGATTTTTGTATCTATCACACGATGCCGATCTCCAGTTAGTCTTCAGCAGCTGAACTTCTGGAAAATCTATTTGGAACAAGAGCAGAAGATTTTCAAAAATCAGGCCACAGAGCATGCAACCAAATTGGCAGAAAATAATGTTAAATGTTTCTTTGAGTGCTCGCATCAAGAGGGGGAATACAAAACCCCAAGCATGGAAGACTGGCAGCAAATCTCATCACTGTATAGTTTTAATCCAAAGGCGCAGCACTACAGCACATTGCACAAGTACATTAACAGAAACAAAGAGATGAGCAGTGTGAAACGTCCTGAAGAAGGTGAGCTGGTTTCTGCTCTCAGCTTTGTAGATGCCTATGGGCTGAGCACCACTGTTGGCTTATGACCTTATGAGTGAAAAGGAAAAAAAGGTTGTTTTGAATTATTGCTTCATTTAAAAAAAATAAAGATTAATATTTTATGTTGGCTTTTTTGTGTCTTCCAAATTATGGAAACATGGAATTGCAGGTTTGAAATAAAATTTTAGAATTTTGCCTCTTCGTTATATTAATTATTTAAAACAGGAGTGAGATTAAATGATTCATTGAAATTGACAAACTTGAACTAGATCAACAGTTTTATATCCTTCACCTAGGGCCACTTTTATTGAATAATATTGCTGCTTTCAAATAAAAGACTTTATGTACTAGCAAAAACAACAAAAGGACAATTGTGCTTCAGGCTTTCTTTTTTTACCTAAGGCTAATTTCAAGTTCACCTTCTTGCAGGCAAGACCTTCTCACGAACTTCAAAATACTGACATTGAATGTCTCTAAAATGGTTTTTGAACAAAAATACAAAAATTTATCCTAAAAAATAAAGTGCCATATTTTTGGACTATCAGACACACTTCCCCCCCAAATTTGGGAGGAAAATGGGAGTGCATCTTATAGTCTGAATGCAGTTTTACATTTACTTTGGTGAAATATTATGTTATTTATGTTATTAAATATTTCACCCCATTTTTGCTTCAATTTTTTTTCCTATTTTTCTCCTCTAAAACCTATGGGTGTCTTATGGTCCAAAGAATACAGTAACATTCTTTAAATACAAAATTTAAAAATCTAGTTTAGGTTAATTGCAGACAATAATTGCCTTTAGTTTGTAGCATCCGAGGGAAAAATTTCAAGCTGATTATTGTAGTAAATTTCAAATACACACAGAAGTAGAAGAGTTAATATTATGAAACTCCACATAGTCATTGCACAGCTTCAACAAAATGGGGAAGCCCAATAAAACCCAATACAAACTGTGACTCAATTTAGATCAGGGGAGGGGTGGGTTCGGAGGAGTCTGTGAGAAACACAAATCTGAAGGAGGAAGGCATTTCAGTTTGCAGGAATAGTGTGAGTGAAGGCTGAGGTGACACAGATCTCAGCAGAGCTGGAAGCCTTAAAGGTAACTGGGGAAAATGAGCAAGGGACTGATTGTGGAGCCTCTTGAGGTCGTGCAAAGGGTTGGGGGGAATATTGATATGTGTTTCTTGTGGAAAAAAAGAATGGCAGGGGGAAGAGAGAGAGCCAAGGTGGAAATGGAGAGTCTAGTCAGGAGGCCTCTGCAGTGGGAATGGATAGGAGTAAACTTGAACTCGGTTGATGAAGAGAGAAAAAGCAGATAGATTCAAGGCAGACTGTGAATATAGACATAACAGGATGTGTTCATGGAAAGGGTGCAAAGATTTATTAAGAACAAGTTTATCTACAGATAAATTGTATTGCTCAGTTATGTCCGGATTTTTCAGGGCACATTAGGTTGTCATTTCTGTCCATCCCACAAATTTATGGCTGTTTTGTGCATTTTTTAAATGTGAGTTATGAAAACTTTAAACTGTGAAACAGTTGAGCACTGATCATTTTTGGTCCTTGCTCTCTTGGCTGACCCTGGTGCTGGTTTTGTTTGCCCTTTGTCATCGAGGGTCATTACCATGAACTAGTCAGCAGGACTGAATATCCTGTGATTGGGAGTCATATACAACGAGACAGTTGGCAACAGAAACTACATCATCAGTTTTTCTCTATTTCCTAATGAGTACTTTTGAAAACCGTATCGTGCCTGCTTTCAGTTTTGCTTCTTTATTTCATTTCCCAATTTCTTTTGTATATTCTTCCCTGCTAATATGTTCCATTTTCTCTTACCAAATCTTTATTTTAATTTTAATTTAATTTTATTTTATTTTAGTATCCTCACCCAAGGATACACTCACTAATTTTAAAGAGAAACAAAGGGTTGGGGAGAGAGAAAAAGTGAACCAGAGAGGGAGAGAGGGAGAAAGAAAGAAAGAATCATTAATATGAGAAACATGTTGGCTGCCTCACAAACATGCCCCGACTGGGAACCAGCTCACAAACTGGGTATGTGTCCTGACTGAGGAATAGAAGCCCCAAACTTTTGGTGCATGGGACGATGCTCCAATCAATTGAGCCACCAGGCCAGGACTTACCCAGTCTTTAATAATTACTGTGAAAGTATATATGCTTAAGATAAAAAAATAATAATGCTAGAAAAGTATGTGAAGTAAAGCATAAAACTTTCTCATTCCTTTGCAATATGTTCTTCCCAGAGGAAACCATATACTCTGTCTACACAAATATTATTGACACTGAAAATGTGGTTCTGCAATGTGGTCACCTAAAATATTGTTCCATGTACATATATAGTAATTTGCATCATAAATATTACTTCATAGTATTCTGATTAGTAGACTATGATCCCCTTTATTAAAAAAGTATATGTGCACACACATACATAACACTTTTATATAAAGATACGCAGCAAATTATCAAATTTGGTCAATTATAAACATTAATAATGAAGGAGGGAATTTGTTTCTAAATCTCATGCACTTCTGTTGTTTGGATTTTTTGGTAATGAATAAGAAATATTAACTGTTGTTAGAAAAGATTACAAAGATCCTCTACACTGTCAGCAAAGCAGGTTTTGCATCTTTCATTTCGTTTTCGTGTGATTATCAGATACCCATGCAACACACCTGTCATATTTATAAGTGAGGAATTAAAGATTAGAGAGGTTACATTACTAGTCCAAGGTCACATGGTCAGTGAAGATAGAAGTGAAAAAAGAGGGTTGGTCTTCTCTGGATCGTGTGGTACAAAGTGGCCACATGGCTATTTTTATTACAGATTTTTCTTTTGTTTTTATCCCATGTCCTTATAAGCAGAGAGAAATATCAATGGTATATGAACTGATTAAAGAAGCAAGTCCCGAGGGAAGCATACAAAAATAGAACTAACCATGTGTAGAAATGTCTCTGACTGAAAAACACCTTGGAAACTTAAAGTTTCCTACCTCACTAGGTGGCCTATTGTAAATAACTCTTCCCAAGAGAAAATATGGAGAGATGCCCTCTGAGTCAACTCCAGCAGCAACAACCACTGTCTATTCTGTCAGCCACAAACCCCCCCTGAGTGCCTACCATGTGTCAGATACCCGGCTGGCCTTTGGTTGATCTTCTTCTGTCTCTTACTCTGTGTTACCTGCTTCTGAGGGATCTATTGCCAGTGCAATGTAAGGACTGCAGGACTGACTACATTCCATTCTGACCCAAGGAAAAAGACTTGCATCGAAAAAAGGAACATGTTCTATCAAGACCTTTTGCCACAAAGAACTGAACATTGAAAACTTCCAAATGAAAGAAAAAGTGTACCAGATTAGGCGATTTCTTACTCTAAAATTTGGGAGCCATCAAAGGTAGGGAAGAGTAACTGAAACATTCACATACAGTTTAAAGAATAATGCCAGCCTGGCTGGTGTAGCTCAGTGGATTGAACATGGGCCTGCAAACCAAAGGGTCACTGGTCCAATTCCCTGTCGGGCACACGGCTGGGATGCAGGCCAGGTCCCCAGTAGGGGATGCATGAGAGGCAACCACACATTGATGTGTCTCTCTCTCTCTTTCTCCCTCCCTTCCCTTCCCTCTAGAAAATAAATATATAAAATCTTTAAAAAATGAAAGAAGAATAATGACAAACATCCATGTAACTACCACAGAACGACCACAGAGGGGAGAGAAATAGAACATCTCCAGTAACCCCAAACTCCTTGCTCAAGTGCCTCTCCACCAACTCCCCCCCCCCCCCGGCAGTGTGTGGTGAGAGGGGTCATTTCCTTACTTTATCACCTAACTGTGCATTCCTAAACTATTAACCTTTAGTTTTCTCTGCTTTTGAACTTTTTATCCATGAAATCATTCTCTAAGTGTTATTTTATTACCTTTTTTCTTTGAAAGATTCATCTATATTATGTCTAGAACAACTTATTTTGACTGTGGTATAATATTCTACCACATGAATATATACCACCTATAACAGTCTACTTAGTCATTTAACTGATGGGGTTTGTTCTCAGTTTCTGGCTCCTACGAGCGATGCCGGAGTGGACATTCATGTATTTATATTCTGGTGGACCTGGGAGCGTTTCTTCAGGGTGTATTCCCAGGAATAGAGAGTGCCACAGGCACATATTCTAGTTTAGCAGATAATGCGTCAAATGTTCTCCATAAGGGTTGTACTGATTTACACTGTAAGGAGAGTTCCCAGTGCTTCTGATCCCTGTAACAATTGGTATTTCCAATTATTTAGTTTTGTCACTCTGGTGAACATATAATGGCATTTTCCATTACAGTTTTAGTTGGCATTTCCCTAGACATTAAAGGAATTTGGCAGCTTTTTATGTTTACTAACCACTTGAATATCCTCTTTTATGAAAGGTCTATTCAAGCATTTTGCCCAGTTTTTAATTTTCAGGTTGTCTATCTTTTTCCTGTTGATTTATGAGATTTCATTATTATTTTATTCACTTGAACCAACAAGTATTTATTGAGAGCCTGCTAAGTCCTGGGCATATTTTAGGTATTTGGGATACATCAGTGAACCAACAGCAAATCTCCTGACCTTGTGGCATCTATATTCTAGGGGAGGAGAGAGATAATATGGAATAAGCATTATAAAGAAGTAAATAATTAGGTGTTTTAGGAGGAAAAGAATAGCATTAAAAAAGGAGAACATTCTAAGAGGTATTAGAAATGTTGGAGGTTGGTGAACTGTTACCCCACTGGGGCAGAGGCTTGAAAGGGTGGCTGGGGCAGCGAGGTAGGGGACAAAAGTAGACCATGAGGTCAAAGAGGTAAGGGTCTGGGGGGCAGATCATGTCAGTCCTTCAGACCCTTGCAAAGACTTTGGTTTTTACTCTGCATGAACTCACATGTTCCTTACACCTAAATCACCTGGTGACTGAGTCAGACCATTGGATGCTCTGAGGTATGAAGAAGGCAAGAAGATGCGGGTTTTAAAAACAGAGGAAGTGATGCTCCCTTTTAGAGGACGCCTGCCCGTTGCCTCAGAATTGGTCACGTGATGCCTGAGACCTAACGGAATATGTTACTGTGGAGTTAAAGTCAGGTGGGAAGTGTGTGTATGCATACATGTGTGTGTACATGAGTTGTCTTACAGTGCCTTGTGTACATTTTTAATACTTTGTTTTGCTAGGA